TGGCATGACATGATTTAGAACTAAGAAAGGGACTTGAGAAAAATAATCTAGTCTAACCTAATTTTATGGGTGACATTCCTAACTGGAAGGCGGAGCCTGTGGTTTAGTGACTGCAAACCTAATAGAAGCAGGAGTCAAGAGACCCAAGTTCTAAACCTGAACTTGGCACTAAGTGATTATGACTTAAATTGGTTTGACTTCCCCATTCATCCTTGTTTTGCAAGTGTGATGTGTAGAATCCATGGGTTGAGGAAGTACCTCAAGGATTTACCTAGGGAAAGAACAGAAGGAGGTTAGTGAGGGAGACCTTGACCCCCCCCCATCACCCATTAGAGTAGAACAACCCCATTGGATCTATTTTGCATGATAATGATTGAAAAATAATCTCTTCAATTTTTTTTAAATTTTATTTACTTTTTCGAGGTTCTGCAGATAAAACCCAGGGCCTTGTGCACACTAGGCAAGCTCTCTACTACTGAGCTACACCCCAACCCATTTTTTTTTTTTTCTTTTTAAGTTTGATTTTTACTGATGTCCTTTCCTCAGGTCTTTCAGTCACAGATGAACTGAGGGAGAACTATATGGTAATGACTTTGGAAATTTATACCCAGGGGTCTGGGGAGCACATAGGAGAGATAACCAACCCTGCTGGATCTGGGGGAGTGGGAGGAGTTTAGAGTTGATTTCCCAGAAGAAATACCAGATGGTAGGACTTTCTTTTAATGTTCTTTGCTTTCTTCTCTATCTGTCTTTAATAAAAGCTACTGGAGACTTTTTTTGGAAAAAGATGAGAAATCAAAGATCTGAGAATTGTTAAAACAATTCTTGTCTTGTCTGACTGTAATCCTGGGCAAATTGCTTAATCTCTACAAATCTCCATTTCAACATCTAGATATACAGGACTGATAATAACAGAAAGGATCTCAAAGCATGATCACAAAGATTAAGTTAGATGATTGTGTAAAAGAACTAATAAAACTATAAAGTCCTATAAAAAATGTTGACTGCTATTGCTAACACTCTGCTGAGGGCTTTAACTCCAGTTAACTGAGATGACTTTCCCAACTAAACCAAGACTGTTGGTTTAGGTTGGGCAACTGGGAAAAAAAAATACCACTTTACTATATAAATAATAATAATAGCAATGGTAAAGGCTTCATTGAAAAGCAGACCCTCTTTGGCCTTGGTGTAAAGGAAACCTGTTAGATTTTTTTAAGCCACTCATATGTCCAAATTTTAGCTAACTTGGGATAAAAATGGTTGGTGTAACTACTCACCATTTGGGATCTATTCAAGGAGCTTCTCCCACTCATCTTCTCCCTTACATAGGAGATGGGGTTCGCTACACTTTTGCCCTTGCTCTGATCTCATCTTAAACCCCACTGGAGGTCAAAGCATTAGACTAGTTATCAGCTTGAGACCCATGCTAATAACTAAAAAGAGTAAAGTGGTCAGGCCAAGGTGGCCTGGAGGGACAGCACACCTAAAGGAGGTGGCTTTGGCTCAAAGTCAGCAGATTCTTCAATGTTGTGAGACCATCTCGATTTCTCCATGGAATCTCATTTTTTAATGCAGATGGGAGTAATTCCAGTTTGTCAGTGTTTCTCTCCCTACCCCATTGGCTTCCTAACTCAAATCTTACTTAAGTGCTTTGCAGTCTACCTAAAATTAGAAACACTCCTGTGCTTAATTCCTGTTGTCCCCATTGCTCAGGGCTAGAGAGTTGTCTTTAATGAGGTGTCTTGGACCCTCCTTGCTGGTTCTCCAGCCAGAGCCCTCATCTGGCCTGGCGTGCCTTACTGCTAGTTCAGGCCCTGTGCTAGACACTGTGCTTGCAGTGGGGAGCCCGCACAGCTCCTGCCCCTCAGTGTGCTCTCAGTCTTGTTGGCAGACTAACTGGTAAGTGAACCTCAGCACACAGAGTTCCCTTAACTCTCTGTAAGGCTTTCCAGTGGTTCACTGAGTTATAATTATGGCTGTGCATTTATTAAAGGTACTGGTATTTGGAGCACAGTGATTACTCAGTGTTTGTTGAATGAATGAAAGACTCTATAGTTGGATGTGGTTGGATTTTTTTCAGTCTTTGTAACATTTTAAAATAAAATCAAGCCAATTAAAAATCCAACTACCCAGAATTCACCACAGGTTTTTTGCTATGGCTGTGTGTGTGTTTTAATTCATATTTAAGAAGAAAAAATACATAATTCAAATGAAAGTCCAACTTCTAGGAGTACTACTTTCCTACTTTCTCTAGCTGGTCCACTGTTACACTCTGAGGACAAGTCAGGTCCTGTTCATGATCTGAACATTCTACGATTTCCAACTTGCAGAAAAATTGATACTCCTTTGATGGCCCTAAAATGCAAGCTGGTTGCAAAATGAATGACAAAAATCCCTCCTGAAATTAAAAATTAAAAACTAAAGTGGAGAATATTTGATAAAGATTAAAAGGTTTTCTTAATCTATCTTCTTACTCAAAAAAAAAAAAAAATCCAATTCACTGGAACTAGATTTTGACTGCCTAGTACCTTGTGAAGATCAGCACTTAGTCTCTTGATTACGCCTGCTTAAAACCAATTAATGGGGATGCTTCATTTAAGGATGGGTTGGTTTTGGTGTTGGTTTTGGTTTTGGTTGTTATATTGATATTTGTTTCCCAGAAGAAAGAATTTACCTACTTAGTCACAGAATGTTCAAAGAAAAATCTTTGTGCATTTTTCAAAAGGAACAGCATTTGCCACATGTGTGTGTTTGTGGGCTTTTTCTTTTTTCATTCTAGAATCCCAACATTTAATGATTTCCTAGTTCCTCAATCCTGAGTAGCTTGAAGTAAAATACAGTATACAGGGGCTTGCTCATATTTCCTGATTTTTCATTTAGTTAGTTTCCTTCTGTGAAGAAAAAAACATGTTTTAAAACTCAAGGGCTTGTAGGGAAGGGGGGAAAAATGACCCAAACAGTGTATGGACATATGAATAAAATTTAAAAAGTAATAAAAAAAAAAAAAACTCAAGGGCCCTATCTATAAATGAGGAGGGTGGAGTTAGGTAGGTCTTGTGTAAACTCAGGTTGCCCCAGGGCATTACTGTCACAGCTTTCAAACAAAAGAAAGTGGTGATTAGAAGAAGTAATTCCCAATATTTGCTCCAGACTAAAGCCTTGTAATTCATATGAACTCTAAACTGATACTCTTTGCATCTCATTTTCTCATTAGGTTTTATTACAGCCAACAAAACTTTCAGTGGTGAATTACTTCCCTTCTCCACCAACACCAGACTCCCTTAATGTCTGTACAAACTGAAATAATGAAATGGCTTTTAACCCAGTCCTCCTTCTTATCTATGGAAAAAGAAAAGGGAAGAAAGGAAGGAAGGAGGGAGGGAGGGAGGGAAGGAAGGAAGGAAGGAAGGAAGGAAGGAAGGAAGGAAGGAAGGAGGGAGTGAGGGAGGGAAGGAAAGAAGGAAGGAAGGAAGGAAGGAAGGAAGGAAGGAAGGAAGGAAGGAAGGAAGGAAAATGTTACTGGAATTGAAACCCAATTTAAAATCATCAGATTTCTGTTTCAAGTTCCCTTGAAATACAAGTCATTTCCACAATAAATGTGAACAAATTGGTCCAAATTCATGGCACAGGTACAGCCAGATACGTCAATAAATGCTATTAAAAGTGGTCCCAGTGTTGAGAAGGGACATCAGACCATGTGCCTAAGCCGAAAGCACTAACCTAAGAACAGTTTTGTTTTGACACAGAAGGATGAAAAGCATTTCATTTCACACCCTTACCTCATAGCAGCCATTGGGAAGAACTGTTCAATGTATCAGGACTAAGACGGGTTCTTGCCCTCAAAGAACTTATCATTTAGTTGAGAAGCCAAAATTTCACTGGATTTGAAAAAAGAAAAAGAAGGACGCAATACAAGATACGGTATAATTGTTAAGCAACATGGTACAGATACTAAGGGACCAAGGGGGCCAGAGGAAAGGAAAGATCTCTGAGGGCTGAGACTGAGAATTTTCAATAAATTCTTAAAATGATGCCAAATTAGGAAGTAAATATAATTGCTGCTGAATTTGTAATGTTAGCATTTATGTGATTTGCCATTGCTTTCCACCCAGTAGCTGTTCAAAAGCACATATATGAACATTGAAACTGCCAGGGAACAGTTCTTTGTAAGTCTCTGGATTTGTAAGGAAACACATACTTTCGACTTGGAGAACAGACACAAAAACAGCAGATTTTGCATGGGGAATTTAGTGAACAAGAACACAGAACTCTGGCTGTGATTTTTGGCATGTGGTGTGGTTTCTAATGAACTATTTCTTACAAGTTTTAAGTTTTTAGGAGTGAGTCAGGCTCAAAAATAATTTTCAATTTTGGGATATCTACTTCCACAATCTATTTTCTCTCTTAAGAAATACAGACAAGACATGCAAGTTATATCCTGAAAACAAGGACAAATTTCTAACTCCTAAAAATAGGGTGGGGGGGGGAACATTCAGCATCCTTTAAAATTGAAGATTCTGAATAGCAGCCCATCTTTTGAAATCAAGAGACTCTAAGTGTTCATTTGCACTCTTGATCTTAAAATGCTTTCTACTTTATAATTTGGCAAACATCCTAGTCCTTTTGTGTTTCTTACCTTTTCCGTCTTTGCAACGCAGTGGGTCTCTGAGCTCAATTTGTTGTAATGGAGTTTCAATTGCTAAAACAGGGGCATGTCTCATCTTGTGTTTTGAGTAACTTCAGACAAGTTTAGAGAATTGTAGTATGAATTTTTCTCTATATACTTGATTACATTCTGGATCTAACCAAGAAATGCCAATTGCCCTTCCATTTCTAAAAACGGGCACTTTCATAACAGTTGTACAACCAGGCAAAAGCGCACACTCTCGTGCTCCCTTAAGGACAGGAAACATGACTGTAATAATGCGAGGTAACTACATTTAGCTTAGAAAAGTCTTTGAACCTTTCAAGTTCTAATCAAGACTTCCAGCTTTCCCGAGTGTGTGCGCTGTATTTTTTCAATTCTTCCTGGTCCTGATTTTGCATTTCTAACGAAAGGGAACTGACAAAGCGTGAAAGTGGTCTCAGGAGCAAAACAAAGCCAGCGAGCATGCTTCTGGTGTGCCAGAATTAATCAATATTCCAGAAACCTCGGGGCTCCCCCCTCCCCACCTCCCTGGGCAGTTTTCGGTCCCCCTCCCCCTTTCCCGCGCGCAGGCTCCGCCCCTTTTCTTAAGTACGCTGGTGGTAAGTTGCAGTTTCAGAGCACAGAGCACATGCATCTGTGCCGCCAGCCTGCCCCGCCGGCCGCTGCGTGGTGTCACTTCGTGGTACCTGCTGGGACTTCACCTTGGCATTGCCTGGGGTGTCTTCCAGCCGATCCAAAAGCTGAAAAGGTAAGTGTAACGTGTGATCCTCCCGCTGGGTTCCCTGTCTTCTTCCACTCCTGGGCCAGTGCAGCTCGTTTCCCAAGCAGAGGAGCAGCGAGAGCAAAAGCTAGCCATTTTGGTGGATAAGGTCCATGGTAGTGATTGAATGTAGGGAGCGCGTGGTGTCCCCGTATGCTGGATCCTTACTCTTAAATTGGTACTGAGTTATTTACAGGGCATTGGCGTAGATTGCGGTTAGAGCTCGAAAAAGAAAAAGAAGATTGAGCCGATCTGTTTTAAAGTGACTAGCTGGGAAAGGGAATCAGCTATTAGTATTTTTAAAAGAAAAAAATCTGGACCCTCCCCTCTCGCCTTCTTCACTTCTCCCTCAACTCAATCTGGTGTGAAGTCTTAAACAAGTTGTAGGTCTTATTATCAAGGACCTGCAATTCTATTTAAAAGTCAAGCTGTTAAAAGACAAGTCTTTTTTTTCCACTCTTGGATTTGCCAAAAGCTTGCGAGGAGTCCCTTGATTTGCAGTGACCTCCCCCACAGACGCACACGCTGGCTGCTTGCGTTGCCAGACACACAAGTCCTCAGGCGGGCTGGTTTTCGCTCGGATTGATCAAGGCAAAAACTAGGGATTAGGACTCCTGTAAAGCAGCAGGAGGAAGCCGTGGGTTTTTCAGAACAGCTGATTTCCAGCAAAGAAAACGGTTTACTTAATTGTATTTGAATAACCTAAGCGCGCTCTAAAGAAACCAGAAACCACACACTGGAATGCAAGTGGATTCATCTCATCTGTTCTAGAAATCCTAAATTTGAAAATACTTAGCAGTCAATGATCGTTTCCTCAGAAGACTCCAGTGTGTGTGCCACAAGCCCAAATGCTACTTTGTACTTCTAAATGTGATTAAATGAATACGAATTATGATTTCAGATAATTTATAGATGTGCCTGGAGCGTTTTGCTTATTTCATGGAAAAAAAAAAATCAAATGCTACCCTGTAAAATAGCCAAAATGCATTTCTTATGTCCCCTGGGCACTTGTGTTCTTTTTATGACCATATTTACTAGTTGATATTCTCCTGTTCTTTTTTTTTTTTTTCCACACTGGGATTTAAACTCAGGGCCTTCACCTTGAGCTACTCCACCAGCCTTATTTTTGTGATGGGTTTTTTCGAGATTGGGTCTAGCAAACTATTTGCCTGGGCTGGATTTGAACCTCAGTCCTCCTGATCTCTGCCACCTGAGTAGCTAGGATTACAGGTGTGAGCCACAAGCACCCAGCTCATGTTTCTTTCTTAATGAAGAAAATAGTGGGTTATTTCACCACACATAACAGAAAGACTCATTGGCTTTATCCTCTCATTGTTCTGTCTATGCCTTCAGCCATGTGTATAAGACATGAATTATCAAGTAATTGTGGCATACTTCCTGTGCGTTCAGTTCAATTGGACATTTATTGGATGCGTATGTTGTGTAAAGCACTTGTCTAGGTTGGGGACTAGAATGGTGGGAATAGGAGGTGCTCTGTCACTGAACCCTTTTCTAGCCTCATTAGAGAGGAAAGGATAGATTAAATAACTAGATATTGTGAGTCAATCTATACCCATTTCTTACACAAGGTCCAGTAAATACACCTGGAAGTCTGGTTTTACAGCTCTCCAGTCTTGGATTCCTATGGAAATCTGCAATTTGCCTACAGCCTGCCTTGCTGTGGGGCAACACTGTTGTCTTACCCCAGAAGGCTGTAACTCTTGTCCCTCTCTTTCTATCCCCCATTCTAGTTGTGTCCTTTAACACCAAAGAAGAGGTTTGGCTTCCTGGAGAGAATTCCAAGACACTGCAGTGCAAAGAAGAAACACACCTAGAAAAGTAAAATATGACAAAAAGCAATGGAGAGGAGCCCAGGATCGGGGGCAGGATGGAGAGATTCCAGCAAGGAGTCCGTAAACGCACACTTTTGGCCAAGAAGAAAGTGCAGAACATCACAAAGGAAGATGTTAAAAGTTACTTGTTTCGGAATGCTTTTGTGCTGCTCACTGTCACCGCTGTCATTGTGGGTGAGTCATTTGACAAAAAAACAAAAACAGAAAACCCCATATCTTGTTTCTCTGGAGTATCTGAATGCTTGGGAACATTATCAGATGGACCGATTATAGGCATTCAAAAATGATAGCTCAGTGGAGTATGGTGGTACATGCCTGTAATCCTAGCACTCGAGAGGTAGAAGCAGGACGATTTCAAGATCAAGGCCAGCCTACACTACATAGAGACCTTGTCTCAAAGTAAAAAAATAATTTTAAAGGTAGCCCAGGCTGTTCTCTGCATTTGAGGGTTTTTTCCTCAGAAAAATTAGTTCATTGGTATGTTTAGAGCAATGAATGGCAGACATGTGGGAATCTGAAAGAACCATCAATGGGCATTAACAAATCAATTGATTGTATGCAGAGGAGAAATAAACCAAACATTTTCCCAATTTGTGTAGGGATAATGGAGCGATAATTTAATCATTCAGCATAAGCAGTTAAATAATAACAAAAACAAGCATGCTAGATGTGGCCGAAACTCAATCATCCTACAATGTCACTCTTACTGAAAAGCTAATTTATACAATTAGTACATTTAAAATGAAAAGTGGACGCCTAATAATTAGATTCTAGCCAGTGCTAATTTGAAGCCTTACGCACAGAGGCCGAATATGTTCTGTTCTATGTTTGCACTCTCTCGCCCAGAGACTGGGAAGGTGAATTAGGAAGTGTTAACACAGATCTCTTTCATTCACTGCCTCGTAGAACCACTGTATCTTTTGTGAAATATTTCAGTCCCTTACTAATTTAGCATGGTTGGCACAATCTGTACTAATAAAACCACCTTTCATTTGTTTTACTCGTATCTGAAGTTTTAGTTTATTACTTTTGGATGCTATTGATCTTACCTTAAAATATAGCTGAAAAAAACCACTTAGTTGGACTTTTTGACCAATATAGAAATCCTTAGGTTGGAAATGAATAAGCCAGTACCAGGTGGCAAAAAAAAAAAAAAAAAAAAAATGCTCCAACTTAAATTTCTACCAATTTGCCACAAAAAAAAGGCACTCATGTGGTTTTAATCTCTACCTTGTAATTAGCCAGGATCTCCATCAACTATAAAAAGGTGATAACAATAAAAATTAAGAAAATTCTGTAACATGTAAATATAATTGTAAGTTTGTCCAAGAAAATAGGATTCACAAATTACAGATAAACAGGAACACAGCAGAAGAGTCTAGTTTGTCACAAGACTTTGGATCTATCCTATTTCAACATTGTTAGCTCCTTTCAGTAATTTTTTTTTTTTTTGGATTTTTTTTCTTTTTTTTTTTTTTTGGTGGCACTGGGGTTTGAACTCAGGACCTTACCCTTGCTAGGCAGGCGGTCTTACCACTTAAATCACTCCACCCACCCTTCCTTTCAATAATTATTGATTAATGAGCATTTAATTAATTGTAGAGATGCTTAAAGAGAATGTGTCATTATTTACCCACAGAAGCAATGGCTTTCTTTAGCAGGTTCCTGGCTTTAAGTATATTCCTGGAAGAAGTACTCTATATTCTGTCATTGTCCTGGAAGTCAATGCAAAATGCAGTATCCGTACCTCATGCTTTTTGCTGTGAATCACCGTCATCAAACCAAGCATAATGTTCACAGCAAACATTTATATGTACTATTCTGGCCACTATCGGGGTGTTTAGTGGGTATTAGCTCACTTAATCTTCAAATAAACCTGTGAAGTGAGTGGTAGCTAGGATTACTCTGAATTTCCTCATAGTTTCATAGATGAAACTGATCATGGAGAGACCAAGCAGCCCGCCAAAAGTCACAAGGCTAGTCCATGCTAGAAAGGGGAGGTCAGTCTATTGCCAGAGGCCATTCTCGTATCTCCTCTGTCATCCTGCTCCTCTGCTCTGCTGACTAGTTGACATCCTGTGAGAGGTGCTAGAAAGAGAAATGCTTCCATGTGTGGGTAGAGGCCACTTAGCATTCATTTAGCCTTGTCATTTTACTATTTGATTTACCCAATTAAACTCAAGACAAAGCTTACAACTTTTCTCTAACTAAGCCCTGTCCCTCTCATTCAACAAATGCACATTTATTTTGCAATCTTGTATGGATAATAATAGGACTAGTAATACTAAAGAATGTTTAGAAAAGATGGAGAAATGCCCTTTCAAAATAATGTTCTAAATGCCAGAAGAGTTCAAGCTCTAAGAAAGAAATATTTCCTTTAAAGAACAGAGGGATGGAAAGTAATAAGACGTGAATGTAGAAGGCAATTTGATAAAGGAAGAAGTTCCTAAATATAAAAAACAACATTTCTAATAAAGGAAGCAAGTGCCCAGATTAAAAAGTCCCTTTTCTCTAGAGTTCTGGGATTACTTCCTAGTCCCATGAGGCCTTTCCTCAGAGTTGTGAAAACCGCAATGAGAGTTGGCTGAGCAGGGGTAGAGAAGTTGGCTGGATGCCCTCATGGTTGGCTTTGCTAATGGAGACTGAGGAGTTAAGAGGCAACAAGAAGAAAACCATAACAAAGAACACATAAAAGAGCTCATTGACAGTCAGAGAGACCACCAAGTCAACACCAAAGGCTTGGAATAACAAATAGACAATTTAGTAGCAAAGAGATTTGAGAGCAGGAAGAATCCTTCAGTTATCTTTTGGTGTGTCTTCCATTGATCCCTCCACCCTGGAAACAAAGTTTCCATTTAGCCTATCACTGGGTTTCATGTCTACATCAGCCTTAAACAAAATAGAAGGGGAAGAGCATGTCTGGAAATCAACTCTTTAATTTATTTGCAGCATAGGGTGAAAAAAATCAGGAAAGATTATAGCAAGGAAGAAAGAAATAGTTATTTTCCCAAAATATGATATGAGAAGAACTATAGTGATTACTTAGTTTTCAACTTCTTAGGCTTTGCTAACTTAGTAAAAAGTACTGGGAAAGCCTATGTATTACAATGAATTTTACATTTAATCTGTTTTGTCCTTTTGAAATAAAATAAACATATATTTAATATGTGGAAATAAGTACAATATTATGGAGGAGGAGTAGAGACATGTAAATCCATATATTCAGAATAAAACAGAACTATAAATATTTCAGTACTGGTTCCTCCATAAGTATAAGCGTTGGACCACTGTGCAATTTTATATTATTTCTAATGTCGTCTCTAAGTACTGTCAGCATGTGAACATGCCATGCTATGACAAAACCTCATGTAACAAGAGCAGGTTAGGAACCTGATAGAAGGCAGTGCCAAGCTCCAACTCTCTAAAGAGGGTTTGTGAGGAAAGGATTAGATAATATGTCTTTCAGGGTTGTTGCTGGCATCTATCTAACAAAAACCCATTAAAGAATGGTCACTAGCTGGGCGCCAGTGGCTCACACCTGTAATCCTAGCTACTCAGGAGGATTGGGGTTCGAAGCCAGCCTGAGCTAATAGTTCACAAGACCCTATCTCGAAAAAACCCATCACAAGTGACTCAAGGTGTAGGCCCTGAGTTCAAGCCCCAGTACTGCAAAAAAAAAAAAAGTGGTCACTGTTTCTTTCTTCCAGAAAGCACTTTCACATTTCACCCTGATAAGTTGTATTAGAGTGACCTGAAAAAAAAAGGAAAAGTCCTTTGTCATGTTCAAACCACAGGATGTGAATCTTTTCCATATCTAGCAGGTGAATTGCAGAATAAAATAAAACTCATAAGGTAAAGAATTATGAAGAAATGGGTCATAAGATCAGCCACAGAGGGTGGGAATCTGCAGATAGAATCAGATGATAGTTTTACCTAATGGGTTCATGGACTCCATAACTGGCATCTTTCTCTGTTATTGGTCTTGCCGTCTACACACATGCAGTTTACATTTATATGGGTTTGAAAGACATTGACTTCTCAGGAAAGAAAATATATTGACTACATTCTTATAAAACATTTCCTCCATTCTCTAATACTGTTTGGTAGAAAATTTAAATTGCACTAAAATTCAGTGCAATTACATAGTTTCTCAAGAAACTGATCCCGATAGATGCTTCTTGGAAAGGAGTTGGGTACATGGGGAATGGGATGAAAGAAATATTTTTTTAATCGGTATAAGGTTTTGTACATTTTAAATACTTTTTACCTCATTCATATATCACTATCGTCTATTCTCTAAATAGACGATAAATCTAAATAATCTAAATTTTAAAATAACTTATTTATTTTAAAATTTAGGTTAACATGCACAAGGTCCTGGGTTCAATCCCCAGCACTACAAAAAAAAAAATTTGAACAATTTAACAAATACTGAATGTTGTGTATCTACCCTGTGCTATGCAATGACATTCCCTGCTCTTAGGTAGTTTACTGGGAGAAGTAGATGACAAATAAGATGAGAAAGGAACACAGCTGGGTGCCAGTGGCTCACTCCTGTAATCTTAGCTCCTCAGGAGGTAGAGATAGAAGGATTGTGGTTCAAAGCCATCCCTGGGCAAATAGTATACAAGACCCTATCTCAAAAAAAATCCCAAAAAGGGATGGCATAGTGACTCAAGTGGTAAGAGTGCCTGCCTAGCAAGCCTGAAAGGAAAGGGTCATGCAAGGGTCAGAGGTGGTAATAGAGAAGTTTATAATTAACTCTAAACTTTTTAAAATGAGACCATTATATGCATACTGTTCTGTATAACATACGGCCTTATTCTGTGTTGGTTCTTTGAAGGATTGATTTTCTCATAAACACCTGCACTGAGAACCACTGCCATGTTAAGAAAAAAAAAAGTGTGGTTTTTGATGAAAAATTGAGCTAGATTTATATACTACTTGTATTTAATAGCTGTGTGATCATAAAAGAAGGCATTTAACCTCTCTGAGCCCTGGTTTCCTCATCTGTCATCACAGCTACAATATATACTGCTAACAATAACAGCGAGAACTCATGTTGTTACCAGGCACTGTTGTGGTTTTTTGGTTTTGGTTTTGGGTGCTTTTTTTGTTTTGGTTTTGTTTGCCTTGTGGGATTTGGTTGGTTTTTGTTTTGTTTGTTCGATTCT